AATAGATTGAATTCGAGGTTGGAGATAAAGTTTTCCTTAAAGTATCTCCCTGGAAGAAAGTATTACGATTTGGTCGGAAAGGAAAGTTAAGTCTGAGATTCATTGGGTCATATGAAGTTGTTAAGAGGATAGGACCCGTGGCATATCAGTTATCTTTGCCACCATAAATAGAGAAAATCCATAATGTTTTCCATGTATCCATGTTACGAAGATACAAGTCCGATCCTTCTCATGTTGTTGCACCAGAACAAGTAGAAGTTCAACCTGATTTGACCTATGAAGAGGAACCAATACAAATTTTGGCTCACGAATTTAACAACTGAGAAATAAATCGGTTCCGTTGGTCAAAGTTCTTTGGAGGAATCACAAAGTAGATGAAGCTAAGTGGGAACGTGAAGAAGATATGCGATTTCAAATCCTCATCTATTCGTGCAATGAAAATTCGAGGATGAATTTTCTTAAGGGAGAGAGATTCGTAACATCCTCCATACCGAGTTAGTGATCAAATTGTGGAATTTTAAAATTTAGTGACCAAAGTAGATAAATTCAATAGTTGAAAATTTAATGGGAATGTTTCATGTGGGATGGATAAGCAAAGAAGGGAAAGTAAGAGGGCAAATAAGTCTTTTAGCAAGAGAAATAATTAAATATTACTTAAGGTTATTTAATAAACCACGTGGAAGTTAGTAGAGAAGGCAAAAGTTTCCAGATTTCTCTTCTTCTTCTTTCTTCTTCTTCCATGTGAAGACAAAGCTAAAGGTGAGTTTTCTTGTTAATCAAATTCTGGATGAATTTAAGGTTGCTTATTAATCATTAGATGATAACTAAGCTTAAGGAAAGCTTAGATTATCTTAAAACAATAAGATGAGGAGTATATGAAGGATTAAAGAAATGAAGTAGAAAAGTAAAATCTTGGATTAGAGTTCTTAATAAGAATTAGAAGTGGGATTTGACTTGTTATCAAGTTAATTAAAGGATATGAAGTGTCAGAATTCGATTTAGAACATGTTGGAAATTGAGTGAAATTCTTAAATTTTATATGGAGAATTGGATTTCTAAGTTTTAAAGGTATCGAATGGATAATAATTAGTTTAAGTAAGTATATGCAAGTAGAGAAGATTATAAAGAGATTTTCGTGCTTAAAATGATATTTCTGGGCTATGTGCATCGATGCACATTCAATGTGCACCGATGCATCAAGGATAAATCCCAGAAATTGTTCAAGGTGTATCAATGCACATGAAGTGCATCGATGCACTCTTTTAAAATAAAAACATCGAATGCCATCAGTGCATCGATGCATAAGGAGTGCATCGATGTACCCCCTTAAATATAAACACCGAATAGGATTTATGCATCGATGCATGGTGTGGTGCATCGATGCATACCTTCATTAAAAGATGAAAATGGCTTTTCTTTTAGCCCAAAAAATGATAGTTTAGAATACATTAATTAGTATACTGATTAGCATCAATGAATTACTCTGTAGATACCGGGCCTAAACAAGTTCCAAAATAATTGCCTCGTAAGATCGATCGAGGAAAAAGCAAGGAAATATAGGTGAGTGCATATGCATAGCATGAATATAGTATTCTATTCAGTTATAGACTTGTGATAAGTCTATATTCAATATTTTGATACATGATCGCATTTCATATTATGATACATGACATGAATTCATATTATGTGCATTAAGTGACATGAATATACAGGAAATGTTATATAAGCTATGTGATACAATGATGGAACATGATATGTTTATGTGATAAAGGTATGGGAATTATATGTCTATACAATATAAATTATGGGAATGGTGAAAGCCCGTGTTATGTAGATGAGAACTATAGGTATAGTTGGCATGCCAAGAGTAGAGGGTCTACGCGGTCCTTCGGGACATATATGTATTCTTTGGAACATGTGTGAGGTCTTTTAAGACATATACTTGATCCTTGTCATATATATATGATTCTTAAGGAAATTTTCTACGTGGTCCTTAGGGACAAGCTTATATGGCAATACGGTGCAATTCTACGCGGCACTTCGGTGTAATTCTACGTGGCACTTCGGTGTATTTATACGAGTTGTGGTGACAGCATAGTGCACAACCTCACAGTACTCACATACCTTAGGTTCTCAATATGCTATCATGAGCCAAAAATCTTATTAATATGAATTCACGAATGTTAATAAATTATGCTTACAGGTAAAGAACATAGTGATATAAACTGCATGGTTAAGCATTTGATTTCGTCTTATTCCATTTAATTATGGCATTTCCATTACATTTCTTTGTTATCATTATTATTATATTGACTCACTAATTCGATGACTTAGCGTGTGAGTGTTTCACACGTAGGATCCGAGAAAATAGAAGATCAAGGTTAAGCAGCTGGACAATATTACTCCTGCAACTATCAGATCAGAAGCAACTTAATAGTATGTCATTTTGTTATGTAAATCAATGTTGGCATATAATAGAATGTTAAGTTGTGTATGCTCTGTGTATTTTGATAAACTTGTATTAACATATGTATATTATTGTATTTTAATAATATAAGTTCAAATGTTTTATAGGTTTTTTTAAGAGTATTATTTTGTTTAGTCAATGTGACATCCGGGACTCGTATCCGGTCGAGTATGAGTTGACTGCGTTACAGCATGGATTGGTTATACGTATGGTTCATGCATGTGCAATGTACGTGAGGTGGTTAGAGTTGTCTTAACAAACTCTCTCTCTCCTCTAATGTCCTAACGTTCTTTCCCTCCCTTTTTTACATTTCATCATGTGTTGTATAAATAGCCTTGTGCTATTGCTGTAGAGATTATCGTTTTACAAATGATTGAAAGCAGTTATTCATGATTTCTGTGTGAGTTGTTACATCGCAATGGATTTGAAAGTGCAAATGGTCTTCCTACACCCATGGTTACAAACTGCAAACTTTCAGCAAAGGATGGAAATCCAGTTGAGAAAGTTACTCAATTTCGCAACATTGTTGGAGCCCTACAGTATGTTGTGATCACTCGTCCAGATATAGCCTTTGCTGTCAATTTATGCAAGCTCCTCTTGACACTCATTTTCAGGCTGTGAAACGTATCTTAAGATACTTACAAGGAACGATTGACTTTGGTCTGCGTTTCTTTGAATCTTCTAGACTTTCCTTGACAGGGTTTGTTGATGCAAGTTAGGGAGCAGATGTGGATGATAGACGTTCCAATTCTGGTTTATGTATATGCTTTGGGGGTAATTTAGTTTCATGGAGCTCTCGAAAACAACAGGTTGTGGCTCGATCAAAAACTGAAGCAGAATATCGAAGTGTTGCGTGTACAGCTGCTGAAATGGTATGGCTTGAATCTTTATTAAGTGAACTACACATTGTATCTCATGGCAAATCTACTCTATGGTGTGACAATTCAAGTACAGTTGCAGTTTGTGCCAATCCTGTTTTGCACTCTAAATTTAAACATGAGTGATGTACGCATGGATTTGTTATAAGTATGGTTCATGCATGTGCAATGTACGTGAGGTGGTTAGAGTTATCTTAACAAACTCTCTCTCTTCTCTAACGTCCTAACGTTCTACTCTCTCTCTCCTCTAACGTCCTAACGTTCTTTCCCTCCCTTTTTTACATTTCATCATGTGTTGTATAAATAGCCTTGTGCTATTGTAGTAGAGATTATGGTTTTACAAATGAATGAAAGCAGTGATTCATGGTTTCTGTGTGAGTTAGTTACTGAGCTATGTTAATACTTTAACATTGGGGTGGGGGGAGTGTGTGGAAATAACATGCACAATAGAGACTAAGAAAATGGAAAAAGATTTTCCTTTTAAAAAAAGCAATTGTTCGAATCAATGAGAAAAAGTAAAAATTTTATGGGTAAATTTAGCATATAGTACCTAAACTATTAGTTTTTATTTGTTTTAATATTTAAACTTTTAATTTTTTTAAATCATACCTAGCGTTTATTTTTCATTTTATTTTATTATTCCGTCGTTAAAAACTTAACACATTTAGTACTTAAACTGTCAGTTTTGGTCCTTTAAGTACCTTAACTTTTATTTTTTTTAAACTTAACATTAAATTTTGTATGAGATCTAAAATGAAACAAAAACTAAAGTTTTTAATGGCGAGTACTGAAATGAAACAAAAACTAAACTTTAGGCATGACTCTAAAAATTAAAAATTTAAATATTAAGACAAACCAAAATTAATTGTTTAATTACTAAACATATAATTTACCCTAATTGTATTATGTCCGTGATATGACTAAGATATGATGGATTCTAACTTAACTTTAATTCTGTGTTTTAATTCAATATTATTACATAAGATTAATATTTTAAAAGTTTTAATTTAATTTGAGTTCTGAAATAATAATAATGGAATACGATTTAAATTCAAATTCAAAATAAAAAAAATATCTAATAATATGATACAAAATACTTTATTATAAAAGATATTTAGATTTCTAGTTATATATTTTTTACACATTAATAATAAATTTATTTTAAATTTAAAATATTTGTGTATTTATGTGGTTTCAATGTTATTTTTTATATTTGTACCAAAAAAATGTTTATATATATATATATATATATATATATATATTCATGACATTACTATTTTTATTGTATTATTATTATTATATTATTTTATATATATTGGACGTAGACTTTGACACGTCCGCATATATGTTATTATGTTGATTTCAGATTGTGTTTGCATTGTATGCAAGCTGTCAGCTACTCAGATTAATTCAATTTAGAAAACAACTCATGCATGTAAAAGTAATATTTTTACTATCTTCGACGTAGAATAATAGAAGTGGAAAATCTAATTATAAAAATAAAATTAATAGGAAAAAGAATGAGTCCAGCTGAGCTCAAATTCTATAGCTACAATGCCGAGAAGCTACAAGATGGTTCCTCCAAAACCAAAGCGGAAAAAAATAATCTATATCTAAAAAATTACTTTACGGTGAAAACCTATCTTTTAACTTAATTTACCTCTAATTAAACTTGATTAACTAAGGCTTTAGCGTCGATAAACGTTCCATGAAAGCCAAAAGGAACCCTGGAAGGTAATTTAATCGAAGCTTCGAGCTGTAAATTCATGGCATTTACAATTCTAAGCTCCGATGTCCATGTCTGTTCATCGTGAACAAAGGAAAGAATGTAACCGTCATCTTCCGTCGATTCGGAGTTGTTGTCTCGGGGTAAAAAATACGGCTCTCCTCCGTATTTTTTATCTCCATAAATGTGTTTTTTTACTTCTCCGGTAACAAGATCGACCTTGGCGAAACCCGATACCTTCGGCCAGGGTTCGGCGATGGCGAGATAAGCATACCGTGTCTTTCTTCCGAGGCGGTTCCGGTTCACCATTCCGGCTTCCAGGTTGACTTGGTCGGATTCCGAGATTATTGGGCGGCGCGTGCACTCACCTGTCTTTAAATTCAGCCTGATTTCGGACAGCACACTCTTTAAGCTTTCGTCACATTCGTTGAAAATAGAGTCGGGTGGTGTCACACAAGAACCGATCACTACCACTTCATCGGTTTCCGGCACTTCCCATGCGTTCCATAGATGAAAACAGAAGGTATTCTCCGATTCGACCCATATGATATCGTTAGTATCGGTCGCATTCTTCGAAAGAATCCCGAACCGGGACTTCTTGTTCTTATCGTAAGTCACCGGCGATCCGCCGGTGATCATCTCTTGAAGCTTGAACACAACTTGCTGGTCTGGGATCACCACGAAATTCTTCGTGATGGCGAAATCATGCATCATGGTCGGAACCGGCAAGGGAATCTCGACGTCGGGTGATTTTTTACCGTCGGGTGAAAATCTGAAGTACTTCAAGTACGGCTTTTGGACAACATCGTAACTCAAAGCGAAGAGTTCCTTGGAAACGGGGTCGATCTTGGGATGAGCAATCATTGTCGATTTAAGTTGTTCATCGAAATCGTATCGTCCAACAGTTTCCAAATCACCTGAGGAAGTGATGCGCACGTGGTAAGGAAGATCATCCTCGGACATAGCGAGAACTCGGTCGTTGAAATAGACAAGTCCGACGTTGGCCACGCCGGTACCTTGTTTATGATCGACGAGGCCGAAGAGTCCTCGAGCGTAAAACAGCATAAGCCTAGCAATCCCCAAATGGCCATGGAGTTCTCCGATTGCTTTAGGAAAAACAGGGCGGCCCAGTTCCTTCTCTTGTAAAAGCCTTTGCGTTTCGGTGAACCGGCAGGCGTAACTGGCGTCGCCATTGTTGATGCTAACAGCGTGAACCATGCCATCACCGTCGAACAAGTGGTGGCCAGCAACCGGCTCGAATAAAGGATTCGCACCGTTTCGGAGATAAACGCCGTTTATACAAGAAGGGATGGTGCCATCAACGGGGAGAGAATGCTTCACCGGCTTCTCCGGGACTGGAGCGAAGTTCCCGGCGATTTGAACCCGTGGGTCGGCGGTTTTAGGAAGTGGGTGTTGAAGCTCGCGTGAGAGCAACGCGCTCTCCGTCATGTCGAGCGCCATGGCCGCCGCTCTTTGCAGAAGATTCCACTTGGGCTTCACATCCTCTCTGGAATCCGGGTACGTTTGTTTGGAGAAATGGATAACGGAGGGAGAGTTGAGAGCTGAGTGAGCAATGTTAATGCCTTTGTTTCTCTTGGGCTGCCATTTTTGTCTGGGAGTGAAGTTCAAATATCCTTTTGCAGAGGAGGAAAGAGGATGAAAAACATGGGGTCTGGCCCAAATATTAGTTGAAGAAGCCATGAGCGTGTTTAAATCAAAGAAATCAAGAGTGGTTTAATGGTGACCCAGAGTGCTCTTTGCTTGTAGGAAAAAGAAAGCAAACATAAGGCAAAGACAGAGTGAAGAGGAGCCTTTGGAGGAAGGAAAGGAACGGAAAATGGGTATAAATAGAGTTGGGGAAGAGGTCCACCTCGGGCACCTAAGAGATGACCACGTGGTGGATTCATATTTTTTTCATTTGGACTTCCTAATGGTCAATTGCAAACATTAAAATATTCCAACACAAATTATATATTCAATTTATTCATTTTAATTAACAAACTATTTATTCAACCCACTCATTTTTTTTAGTGTAATCCACGTATTTATTACCTAATTTATTAATTTTGATTCGTTTTAATATTTAAATTTTTATTTTTTTTAAATCATATTTAACGTTTTATTTTGTTTTATTTTAGTATTCTTCGTTCAAAACTTAACCGTTTATTATTTAAATTATCAGTTTTTATACATAATTTTTTTTATTTTTTCAAAAATTAATTTTAAATTTTTAATGAAGGGTACTGAAATGAAATAAAAATAAATATTTAGGTATAGTTTTGAAAAAATTGAAAATCCAAGTACTAAAACAAACTAAAATTGATAATATAGGTACTAAATACGTAATTTACCCTATTTATTAAGTTAAATTGATTATAAAATATATGTTTTAAATATTTTTAATCATTTAATCATGAATATTCAATCATCCTTGTTACAATTGTGCGCGCCCGAATCAATTTGACTTCTCATTCATTTTAAAAATATATTTTTTATACGAACCAAATAATTTTAATAATTAAAATATAATTATTATTTTTAGAGATTACAAGTTAAAACATGACATATACAAAAGATATTTAAATGTTTATTATCAAATAATTAAATATTTAAATAGATAACACCTTATAATCTAACTTATAAATAACACAAATACTAATTATACAGGTGGAGCAAAAAAGAAAACTCCAAAGATTTTTTTGTTTGGTTTGTTTGAATAAGTTTGGAGGGGAGATGGTCCCAAAACTAGGACCAGTGAGAGTGAGAGTGAGAGTGAGAGTGAGAGACAGAGTTATCCTGCAAAAAGGCAGACAAAAAGTGAAAAATAAAGGTTTAATATCAAAATAACTGTCCAAAATATATTATTTTTCTCGTATAGGTATTTAAATTATTTTTTTAATCATCTCGATGCATAATATTATAAACGTTATCACTTTAAGTACTCAGATCATCAACGATGTTAATTTCTTTCGTTATGTGACACGTGTCACAATCTGATAATTTTAAAATTTTATTTAAAATTTTAAAATTTAAAATATATATATTTTAAAAAACATAAACATTTTGAAATAACCCTAAAACTTTAAAAACATTTATTTCAACTCCTAAACGCATTCCAACCATCACTCTTTTCCATCGATGAAGCTTCACTAGACCTTACCTCCTCTCGGAGACCAAAACCCCTATGGCATTGTGACCAATCAACAATCGATCGACGGTGAATCGACGTTTTATACCCCGCGAACCGTATGATGAAAATTATGGTCCCACATGATTTCGACGGTCAATCGACGACAACTACATCGGTGTATGACTAGGAGGGTGGCAGGGACTATGGTGGTCATGACCGGAAAAGGCGATGATAGCAGGTTAAGTTTAGGATTTGGGGATTTTGGGTTTTATAATTTAAGAAAAATTATTTTTTTATAAATATAATAATAATTTTAATATTTTTTTAAAAAATAAATTTTAAAATTACTAGATTGTGACTCGTGTCACTTAACTGAAGAAATTAACGCCGTTGATAGTCCGGACACCTAAAATGATAATGTTTGTAACGCTAGGCACCAGGATGAGTCAAAAAATATTTTAGGTACCTATTCGGGAAAAATTATAGTGTTTGGGCACTTATTTTGGTATTAAGCAAAAAATAAAACACCCAACTTTCTATTTTGTTTATATTCTAATCCTTCTTCCTTTGCATTTTCCACCACAAAAAAAAAATATCAAACGTCACGTCAAACGTCACTATTAAACCCACCTTCTCCAGTTTTGGGCAACTGTTATTTTCTTTCACATGATCGTCGTTATTGCTTCCTACATTTATACACAATACAACCCCATGAATCCATGAACGTCATAAGGTACTAAGCCCGGATTTTAGCATAAAGGGTAAAATATAATTAATAATAAAAAATAAAAGTGAGTTAAAATTTAATTTTAAAGCTCTAAATAAGTAATTAATTTTATATTTTTTAATGATAATTTTTTTTGAGGGTGCAGTACTCAAACTCTTACTTATCTCTGTCCCTGAATATAATCTCTCTTTCTACTTCTTAACAATAACGCGGATTCAAAATATTTTTTAAGGGTGAATATAAGTAAAACTATTAATTTTGGTTCATTTTAGTATTTAAATTTTTATTTTTTTAAATAATACCTAATGTTTAGTTTTTGTTTCATTTTAGTAATTTGTCGTTAAAAACTTAACGGATGGGCTCGTCGGCCATCACGTCCGTTGGCCGATGAAGTTCAAATTTCCATCCTGCACTTTTTTGACCCCCTGAATAGGATTCCGACTTCCGTTTCATCGGAAAATACGTCAATCTCCCCAGATCGATGATAGACTCTTCAACTTTTTCATCCTCTGATCCTTACTGTCAATTGTCCGATGGGTCTGAAATCAGACTATGTTGGCCGACTCATCATTCTCTCGTTGTCTAATGTTGTGATTGTCGTCCGTCCACTGGAGCTATGCCCCTAGCCCATCCCGTAAGTTTTTAATGATGAGGTACTAAAATGAAAAAAAATAAACATTAGGTATGATTTTGAAAAATATTAAAAGTTTAGGTACTAAAATAGACCAAAATTGATAATTTAAGTACTAAATGCATAATTTACTCAATAAATAATTTTATGAATAAAATTCATATTTCAGAGTCCCTTAATGGATTCGCCACTACTCTCCAACAGCTATGGTTCATTGAAATCCAGTGCCAATTACCCCCCCCCCACTCTTTCAACATGTCTCCTTATCCTAAATCACATAAGATAATATAACTAAATTATAAAGATTAAAAATAATTAAACTACAGAACATAAATTAAATCTAAAATTTTATAATCTTGAGGTGCTTCATTCAGAGTCACTCGATTTTTCTGTGATTGACAATGGAGGCTGAATTTGGGCACTTGCATGCCTGTTTCTACTGTTTCCAAAATATCCCATTGGCACTTACAAATAAGAAAGATGACACCAAAATACTTAGCTTTTTCGACGTCCCTATAATTTCCAAACCCTTAAAGACAGAAACCTTATAGTACAAGCATCATCCGTCATTATCGAATTTTTGGGGATGAAACCGAATCCGACTGTCGTCTATGGGGACGAAGCCGAACTCTAGTAGGCACAATAGTTGCATTGAGGCTCGAAAGATATTGGCATTAACGCCAGTTATGGTTGAAAGTTAAAGATGGCGACTGGCGTTGGGTAACAGTGCGTATATGTACTGTAAACACCTATGGAGTTTAGTGCCTATCATCAATTTCCAACGCTGTCGCGGGGCCATCTACAATGGTGTGTGATGGACATCTTTTTCTTCAACTTTCTATCGAAATATAACTTGTAAGCGATATCGAACTACTTTGAAAGTAAATGGGAAAAATATAGTAAAACGAGTAAAGTCCGATCAATCCTAGACACAAACTTTAAATTTACATAAAATATATTATAATCAATAGACAAATCCATTCTAGAATTTCATTTAATTAATTAACTTCCCCATGTCGGGGAGCAAGTGTTGAAGTTAGGTGCCTTAATTATATTACTGTACATCTGTTCATATTGTCATGTTCCGATAGCAAATCACTTACATGAAGGTTTTGTCTGTCTTAAACATATTAAAAATGAGACTAAGGGCTAAGGAGTTTTTAGTTTCCTCGGTCAGCAAATTACAGCCTAGCTTGCTTTCTAATCCTTAATTCTTTTATAATATGAATGCTTAATTAGTATATAATCATTGCTTAAGTATAATATAAAAGGAAATCAAGGAAAATTTTCTTCTATTTACAATAGTATTGTTCTCCATTGAGATCTCAAATTTGAGCAGTTACACTTACAATATGTGTGTTGTCCATAATTAAAAAAATATTAATAGACATGACATTATAATCACCCCAAATTATTGGAAAAAAATTATCGTTGTGATAGGTTTTTAAACAAGATTAACCTTCAATAATATTAAATTAGAAGGTATTAATATGGAAGTTCATAGAGTTCTTTCCATAGAACTCCACCTAAATTTTATATTTAATATATTATTGATAAATTTGATATATTAAATAATATTATAAAAAAGTACAAATAATGTATATATTAATATATATATTATGTGATGTCTAATATTACTAATTTATTATAAAAATAAACTACTAAAATAATGATCATTAAAATAAATTATTTCAAACAAATTATATATATATATATATATATACACACGAAATTATAAACGGAAATTTTTATATTTCATATTTTATTTTGCATAGAAATATTTATAGAATGTATATAAGCCGACAGTTATACAAAATGAGAGAATTTGGAGCGCCTGAAGAAAACAAAACTTGGTGATATAATTAGCCATCTAAACTTCAATGAAGAGCGGCGAAAATAACTGTTAAGATCTGCATAATCTAATATAATCTAATCTAATCATTAGATCCCTCACTTAATTTAATTTTAGTTAAAATCAATTAAAATCTTTTAAAAAAATATAATATATATACACTGGCTGATGCATGGAGTATCGAGGGCTCAAATTCGAATTTTCTTCAATTAATCATCTATTTTCTTGATGTTCACCCTGAAAATTTATTATGCCCATCCTGAAATCTAAAATTTCTTCAATTATGACATATTTTATTGACGATAACCACCCTGAAATTTTATTTATGTCTACTTTATTAAAAAAAATTATATCATTAACAAATATGTGTCCACTCTAAAAAAATATTTCTGGATCCACCATTGTATATATATGTATTTTTAAAAAAAATATTATTTCAAAATTTAAAAAAAAAATCCT